CTAGGCTTCGCCAGCAGGAAAGGAGATGCGAAGAGTCGTGCTGCACCTGGTGGCCAGTCCTCAAAGCTGGTATTGTGAGCAGTATGAAGAACCACAGATGGGTAGGCAGACCCACCCTTAACCTGGGTGGGCACCATCCCCTCTGCTGCCAGCACGGCTAGAAAAAGCAGGCAGGAGAACGTGGAATCGCAGACTCGCTCAGTCTTCCGGCCTTCATCTTTCTCCCGTGCTGGATGCCTCCTGCCCTGGAACATCAGACTCTGAGTTCTTCAGCTTTTGGACTCTTGGACTTACAACAGCGGTTTGTCAGGGGCTCTCAGGCCTTTGGCCACAGACCGAAGGCTGCACTGCCCGCTTTCCTACTTTCGAGGGTTTGGGACTCAGACTGATCCACTGCTGGCTTCCCTTCTCCTCTACTTGCAGACGGCCTATTGTGAGGCTTGACCTTGTGATCGTGTGAGTCGTTGATTCTCCTGAATCAACTCCCTTTCATGCGTACAATATCCTGTTAGTTCTGTCCTTCCAGAGAACCGTGACTCATGCACCTTCCCTGTCCCGGCCCCCCCAGCTCCTCCTCTTTCCCGGACTTGGCCTCCGTTATGACACTCACCCCACTGCCGCCCCGGCTCGCCCTCTCTGCACTCGCCAGCTTGCAGCGTATCAACAGTCACCAGTTAATGAGGACGTATCCGTGCACTCACATTTTACAGACATCAGTTAATCTCATCTTTATAATGACCACAGGCAGGCAGGATGATTCCCATTCACAGACTGACAAAGTGGAAACCATTTACAAAACTGAGATTCAGAGTGCTGTGTCCAGGGTCAGCTGCAGGGGAGCAGCAGCCATTGCATTTGAACCTCATTCTCTCGGACTCGAGTCTTCGGAACCACGATACTGAAGCAACTCTCTGTGCAGATATTTAACTTTCCTTAAGGAAACAATAGCTGTAGTTGCCACAAGTCTGATTATTAAAGTGTACCATCTATGGATGAGGAAATGGGGGCACAGAGAGGTTAACCAACTTGCCTAAGGTCACAGAGCTTGGTAGCTGGTATTGAACCCTGGTATTCTTTTTTTTTTTTTTTTTTTTTTTTTGAGACAGAGTTTTGCTCTTGTTGCCCAGGCTGGAGCGCAATGGCGCGATCTCGGCCCACTGCAATCTCGCCTCCCGGGTTTAAGCAATTCTCCTGCCTGAGTCCCCTGAGTAGCTGGGATTATAGGCATGA